CCCCAAAACCCCAAAACCCCGATTGTAAATATTGTATTTAAATATTAATGGTTTATAAAATTATAATAATAATAGTCATCCATTTAATTAGTTTCGATGTCAATACTAAAGTCGAATAGATTGGCAACTCAAAACAGATATTAAAGTTTGCTTACATGGGAGCTCTACAACTGGCAACTAGTAAATAGACAAGGCCATAAAGTGTGGAGTATTCATGATGGCCCTCCATTTGCTAGTGGCAAACCTCATTTAGGCCACCTATATAACAAAACATTGAAAGACATAATAAACAGATATTAGTTGCTCTAAGGATATCAAGTTAATTTCATTTCTGGCTTTGATTGCTATGGAACAATCATAGAAGACATTGCCCTATCAGATAAGAGTGATTAGCTAATTGATTCTCTTTCGCTTAGCATTAATAATAACAAGATTGATGAATTTAATTTTTCAACTCCTGAGGAGAAATAAATCCTCAAGAATAGATAGAAATGCAAAGAATTTGTTCGTAGCAGTATTCTGAGTCATATGGAATAATACTAAAAATGGGGAATTATGTGTGACTTGAGGTAGAGTTACTTCACAATGAGTAAGAATAAATTAGTATAATCTATTAGTGCCTGAATATGAAAGTATGGTTTTAGATCAATTTGGTAAACTTGTTCAACAAAGGTAAATATACAGAGGAGGTAGGACTGTATTTTGGTCAATTGATCAATAGAGAATTATGGATGAACACTAAGTAGAGGAAATTTCCGAAATCAGGGATTGCGTAATAGCTAAATTTCCAATAAACTCTTTTGGAAAGCAAAGTGATTAAATCAGACAGATGTATCCTGAGGCTAAATTCTTGGTTTTTTCAACAGAACCATGGAAATTAATGGGGACTCATGTAAGATCATAATGAATTCTTAAAAATATAGGCAATTGCCGTGAATGATGGTATTTCTTATGCTTTATGCTCTTATAAGGATGAATATTTAATCATGGCTGAAAAAAGAATAGCTGAAATGTAGATAAGAGCAGGAAAAGAATAAATCAAAACTCTTTTGATATTTACAGGACAACAATTATCTGATATTGTTCTTGGACATCCTTTGGTTAATAACAAGGAAATTCCTGTAGTAATATACAATAATGTCAGAAGTTCCTTTGGAACAGGAATCAATATAGTTGCTCCAGGGCATGATATTGAATCACTTAAAATATCTTAGGTAAAATTGCATATTTTAAACTTATCAGCAATATGGATTACCTAAAGAAGGAGTCGTTGATTAGAATGGAAAATTGAAAGAAGAATTAGGCCCTATTTATTATGGAGAAAATATAAGAAGCGAAAAAACTAACAATCTAATCATAGGAATGCTTAAAGAATAGAACTCTCTGTTTTAAACTTATAAATACTAAAATACAAGCTATATAAACAATGAAACAAAGGAAAGAATCGTGCTTATTACATTAGATAGTTGGTTTATGAGTGTTCCAGAAAAATTATCAATGATGAGTTTGCAAGAACTTGCTGCATTGAAATATATTCCTCCTCTTAATCTTAAAACATCAGAGGAAGCTCATCAAGACTATATTAAAATTTAGAACAAAGCATTAAAAAGTAAACAAGATTTTGGCTCCTATTACATAAACATTGTTGAAGAAATTAGTAAGATATTAATAATAAGAAAATCTCCTTTTAGATGATTTGACAGAATGGTGTATATCAGAAGATTCAATTTGGGGAATACCAATTCCATTCTTCATTGACAAAGATACTAGTAAAATTGATTGTTTTAAATTGTTTAGATCAAATTTTAATCGACTAAGAAATCATACAACATGTCTCAAAGGTATTCTTAAATAATGGCGGGTCTGATGCATGGTATTCCCTTCCAATTTCAGAATTACTCCCTCGCAGATACAAGCACAGAGCTGATAAGTTAGCAAAAGGTTAATAAGTATTTGACGTATGGTTCGACAATGCATTATCTTGGAACTTTGTCAAGGATTAAACCACATACAAGTCATTCATAACTCAATTTGAGCAAAGTGGGCCATAGCTATCTGGATAAAATACTTAGTTTAATCAAATAACTTAGGATCTAGAAACAAATATTCTTGAAGATAATTAAGAATAAAAGCCAAAGAAACTAAAGGTTAGTTTGAAGGATTACATGAATAAAAAGAAATTACTAAATAATCAATAGAGTTATGTTGGTAAAAGTAATGCGTTTATCCCTTAAAATGAAGATAACTTAATGCAATTAAGATAATTAGAATACAATTTCTAAAATAGTCTTCAGAATGATTTAACTAACAAACTCAATCAATAATCATTGGACAAACTAAGGCTATTCGATCATATACCTTCTATTTAAACAAGTCTAGTTATGCAACAAAACCTTTTTCCATACAGTATGTTCCTAGAAGGATTTGACTAGCATTCAAGATGGTTCATGTCTAGTTTTATCCTCTCAATGTCATTAACTGGAGAATCTCCATTCAACATTCTAAAAACACACGGTCTCATTGTTGATGAGCAAGGAGAAAAGTTATCAAAATCAGATGGCGCTTAAGCTGGAGGTGATCCAGATGATCTTATTGAGGGTAGCATTAAGTTGGATGGCACTAGAAAGTACGGTTATGGAATAGATGTGATTAGAGCATGGTGTGCATTTAAAGACTCTGATAAAAATTTGTTGGTCTAAAAAGATCATCTAGATTAAATTAATAAGGAAGTTAAAGTGTTTAGAGACATAATTAGAGTTTTGTGCCAAAATGTTAAAAATCTAGACATTAACAAAGATATATATGATTTTAATAAACTTGGATTTATTGATAAGATGATGATGATTAAACTATTGAAATTTTCCCAGGAAATTACAGATAATTTTGACAATTTCGATTTAAAAAACGTATATGAAAAGACAATTAATTTCTTATTGACTGATGTTATTGGATTCTATCTTGAATTCGTTAAGCACAAAAAGTATTTGGATGATGTGCAAAATAAACAAGTAATGTTTAAAATACTAAATTCATTATTGCTTACAACTGCTCCGATTCTATGCTTTTCTGCTTAGGAGGCTTTTGATGACATGCCTAATAACCTTTTTGAGGATTATGAAAAACCTTAAACTATCTTCTAACTCCCATGGTTTTTAGAGGAAATTGTAAAATCAGTTGGTTAAAAATTCTTGGCATAATTCCAGAATAGAGATCTTTTTGATAAATTACTAAATATGAGAAAAAGTCTGAGGGAAGTATACGAAGAGCACATTTTAAAAATGGTTTCAAAGGGAGATTATTAAAAGACTAAAATGCATATCCTTGTAACGTCTTTAGATTGTAATGAAGCTACATTGTTGGAAATTCTGGGAGATGATTTGGACGATTTTTTCTTTGGAGTCTAAGTTGTAATTTAGACCGAAGTAGAAAACCTCTAGATGAAAGAAGCACCATTAAAAACACTTAAACATTCATTTACATTTAAGGACGATTAAACAGAAGAAGATGAAAAGAAACAGAAGCCAAAGCCTATATAGTATGAATACAGAATTAGAGTATATAGAAATAATCTAATGAAATGCGGAATGTGCAAGAAAGCCAAGATAAAGAACAATAATCCTAAGGATAATGAAATTCCAATAGATGAAGGATAAATATAACTTTGTGGAAATTGCCAAAAAATTGCAACTATAACTTAGCAATGAACTTTTAATTAATGATTTACTATTCTTAATTTCATAATTTCTTTAATGTAATACTTAAGGGGTTTTGGGGTTTTGGGGTTTTGGGG